TTTGGGTTGAAATATACATATTTAACTCTTTAGGATTTTCTTAAAAGGCTAAGTTTGACTTTGGTCAACATGTGGGCAAACGGGCCCGGATTCGTGTTTTGATGGTTCCAGAGGTTCCGCGGGAAAATATGGGACCTGGGCGTATGCCCGAAATCGAATTTCGAGGTCCCTAGCCCGAGTAATGAATTTTTATTAGAAATTATTAATATGAAATATTATGGATTTAAAGAAACTAACTAATGATTGATTTCGTGGGTGTCAGGCTCGTATGTTGGTTCCGAAGCCGGGTACAAGTCCGAAATATCATTTAAGACCTACCCGCAAAATTTGGCGTCAATCCGAGTAGTTTAAGGGCGTTTTGGCCCGTTGGAGGAAAATTAAGAACTTGAAGTTCATAAGTTTGATTCATTTGGTTTAAGGGGGTGATTCCTAGATTTAGCATTGTTTCGGGTGTTCCGAAGGTTCGAGTAGGTCCGTCTCGTGATTTCAGACTTGTTGGTATGTTCGGGCGGGGCCCAGGAGCCCTGAGCGTCAAATAGACGAGGCTCGAGTGAAGTGGAAAATTTTGAAAAGAGCTGAAGTTTGCTGCTTCTATCATAACCACACCTGCGGTTGGTGGACCGCAGAAGCGACCCTCTCATCGCAGAAGCGGCCCAGGGCAGGCTAGGCCAGGAACCGCAGAAGCGACTCTGCAAATGCGGCCTCGAGACCGCAGAAGCGGTCCCAGCTCTTTCGCCCCATTTCGTAGATGCGGCCCATTTCTCGCAGATGCGGGACCACAGATGCGGTCCCCTGACCGCAGATGGGGAAATCGCTGAAGCAGTGAGGTTCATTTAATACGGGTTCCAAACCAATTTTTGACACTTTTCACTCCTCCATTGGCGATTTTAGAGCTCTTGAGAGAAAACCTTCACCAAGCATCTTGAGGTAAGTTAGTCCTACCCATTTCTAGTTTATTAATTATGTCTTAGGTAGATTAAACATTAGTATTAAGGTGAAATCATGGGGTTAGAGCAAAAACCTAGGATTTTAATTAGATTTAACCACGAAATTTGTTATGGAATAAGTTAGAAATCATATATTATTGATCCTTAGGATGTAGAGAACAACTTCCTTCGAATAATCTTGGAATCCGGGCACATGGTCCCGGGGTCGGATTTTAGGAAACTTGTGTTAAGGGTTGGGAAATTGCTTAAATAGCTAGAATTCGATCTTGTGAGTCTATATTGACTAGTTCTTATTTTTTTTAACTAGTTTGGGATCGTTCGGCTCCGAATTGAGGGCTTGGACTCATTCTTTGTATTGGAAGTGCACTTTGGAGAGAGGTGAGTCTCCTTTCTAACCTTGTAAGAGGGAATTGTCCCCATAGGTATAATAATTGAATTAATTTCCATTATATGCGGGGGCTACGTACGTACTAGGTGACGAGAGTCCGTGCGTAGCTGCTATTATGTTAAGTCGGGTAGTCTAGGGCCCATAAGCATGCTCTATGTGATATTCTTGTAACTTGATGATAAATTCGGATTCGTATAAACTATTTTGATTAATTTAAATGAGAATAGTGAAGGAACCTTATCCTGTTTGGTCTTTTAAAAGAGAGTATTTGGTGTTCCTATGAATAACTACTCCTCAGATATATATTATTGTTTGCTGGTGGATGAGCTTATTTATATTTGACCGCGTCGCACGGATGATTCGCGAGCGGGGTAATAGATGCATCTATGGTTCGAGCCGTTCGACTCTCGGCAGTGCACAATTTAGTTTTATGTTGGATCGGGCCGTACGTCCCACGGTGTTACTTGTGTACGTTTTCCTTAGCATTTCTCTGAGGACTGAATTTCATATCTGCTTGAAATATAGGTGAATATCCATGATAATACTTGGGGAAGAACTGTTATTCCATGATTTTTAAATGCTAATAATTTGTGTTATCCATGCTATTTATAAATTCTTCTCACATTATTTGACCTTAGTAAGTGTCAAGTCGACCTCTCGTCTCTACTTCTTCGAGATTAGGCGGGATACTTACTGGGTACATATTGTTTATGTACTCATACTACACTTCTGTACTTAATTGTACAAGGTCCGAGGCAGGTGTATCTGGCTATCAGTCTGGTGCGTATCTCTGAGCGGACTCGAGACTTCTACGGTGAGCTGCTTCCCTTCCATGCCGTTCAGCAGCCTGAAGAAGTCTTTCTTATGTATTTTTGTTGTCTATTCCGTTTCGGACAGTAGGATAGTGTGATTCTTTTGTATATTCTACTAGTTGCCCTCAGCTTGTGACACCAGGTCTTGGTACACACATTAGTAGACTGTATTATTTTGGGGTTGTATGATTATCATGACTTTATTAAACGTTTCTAATTTTATTTCAACTTAAGGAATTATTCCAACTATTTCGGGGTAAAGGTAAATGAAAGTTTAGTAGTATTTTCTGCGTTGGCTTGCCCGGCAATGATGTTGGGCACCATCACGACCTATCGTGAAAATGGGTCGTGACAATTGGGGCTCCAAACCAAACATGCACACTAGCCCAAAAACATCACACGGACTTGCTCGTGCGATCAAATCATCAAAATAACATCAACATCCATGAATTAAACCTCAAATTCATGAAATCACTCAAGAACATCAAAATTTCTATTTTCTCAATTATAGGTCCGTTTTATACCAAACAAATTCCGATCTTTACTAAATTTTACAGATTCAACTTAATCATTATTTCAAACTTGTACGGGGCTCCGAAACCAAGATCTGGGCCCGATATCATCAAGAAAATGCATCAATTCACTTCTAAAAACCTTTATAATTTTCAGAAAACAATTTTCTTTCAAAATTCATTTCTCGGGCTTGGGACCTCGTAATTCGATTCTGGGCGTACGCCCAAGTCCGATATTTTATTACGGACCCTACGAGACAATCGGATCACGGGTCCTGGTCCGTTTTCCAGAATGTTGACCAAAGTCAAATTTATTCAATTTTTAAAGCCAATTTCCATATTTTACTTAGTTTTCACATAAAAGCTTTCCGAAAATGCGCCCGGACTGCGCATGCAAATCGAGGTGAGACAAAAAGAGGTTTTTAAAGCCTCGGAACACAGAATTTACTTTCAAAAACGAGTGATGACCTTTTGGATCATCACAACCATACACTTACCTTAAGCTAACGGGTATTTCAAAGCTCAAATACTGCTTTACCTCTCGATTCCACCTCCAATCCACTCGTATCTAGTCATAATCAACTTAATAAAATTAATTAATGCTAAAGAAATCAATTCCAATGCACAATTATAGGTTTCCCAATATTTTTCCCAAAACATCAAAAATCGACCCCGGGCTCGCTTGGTCAAAACCCGAAATTCGGACCAAAACCCGGTTATCCATTCACCCTCGAGCCCGGATATACAACTAGTTTTGGAATCCGACCTTAAATTGAGGTCCAAATCCCCAAATTTCGAAATTCCTAAGTTCTACCCAAAAACACCCAATTCTGCCATGAAAAACCCTAGATTCTAGGATGAAATCTTGTAAAAAGATAAAAATATTAAAAGAAATGAGTTAAGAATCATTTACCTATGATTTGGGGAAGAACTTGCCCTAGGAAAATCGCCTCTTGAAGTTTTGATTTTGAAAAATGGGAGAATGGATGAAAAATCCCGTCTAACTTATGTTTTGAACAACTGCAGATGTCGCATTTGTGACTGAGTTTTGCAAATGCGAAGTTCCACACACTTCTGTTGCCTTCGCAATTGCGAACCTGATCCTCCGCAAATGCGATGAAATGATCGCAATTGCTATCCCTGCCCTTCCCAGTTTTTACTTCGCAAATCATCGCAATTGCGAAGACTACTTGGCCCAGCCTTCCTTCGCATTTGTGAAGAAGGCCTTGCAAATGCGACCTCCACAGTGATCGCAAATGCGAACCTTGACCTCGCATTTGCGAGGTCTGAGGCCTGCAACACGGCTGAAGCATACCAGCTGTTTTTCTAAGTTCCAAATTACTCCGTAGCTTATCCAAAACTCACCCGAGCCCTCGGGGCTCCAAACCAAACATGCACACAAGTCTTAAAATATTATACGAACTTGCTCATGCGATCAAATCACCAAAATAACACCCAAAACTACGGATACACCAAAATACATGAAATTATCAAGATAGTTTCAAAACTCTATTTTCTCAACCAAGGGTTTGAATCACGTCAAATAAACTCCGTTTTCACCAAATTGCACAGACATGACCTAAATATCATATTAAACTGTACCGGGCTCCAGAACTAAAATACAGGCTCAATACTAACATGATCAAACATTAACCAATTCTTCAAAAACATTGCAATTGCAATTTAACATTTTTTCTCAAAAATTTATTTCTCGAGCTAGGGACATCGGAATTAAATTTCGGGTATACGCCCAGGTTCCATATTTTACTACGGATCCTCCGGCACCGTCAAAACATGGGTCCAAGTTCGTTTACTCAAAATGTTGACCGAAGTCAACTAAAATCAAGTAAATATTATTATTTTCTCAAATTTCCACATAAAGGTTTTCCGGAATCGCGCCCGGACTGCACACGCAAATTGAGAGAAATAAAATGAGGTCTTTAAGGTCCCGGAACACAAATTCGAGTTCTAGATCATAAGATGACCTTTTGGGTCATCACACATATTCAAATGACAGAGTGGTGGATCAGACTCAGTTAACCTTTCTCATCTCAACTTTCATATAAATTATATAAACTGCATTATTTTTATATATAGAAGGCTTCAACCATTGATTCTATCATTGATGGGAGCACAATTTACAAGATATTGGAATACAACTTTCTTTTTTAATTAGAAGTTGCTGGGAAAAAACAATTTAAATTATATAATCTGCATTATTTTCAAGGGAAGGCGAGCCTAAGCAACATAAATATAAGACAAGTTGATTTTTACTATTAAAAAAAAAACAAGGGACAGTAGTCCATCTAAAGAGCTAGGTCACTACAAGAGCAGTCTATAAATTACGCTCTTTAGGAAATAATAAATTGCAGACACTTCGAAACACTATTCCCTAATATGGTGTTGTTTAAGCTTGGCTTCAGTTTCATTGTTCTTCTCATGGCAACCACAAGTTAGTATTCGTCCCTTTTTGTCTCTGCATATTGAAATAATATTATTACGCTTAACTCCTACCATGTATAAAAGTATATATGTGAATGTACGTATTTCGTATACACGGACAGATACATATATGGGCCTAGCATATTGCATATGAATGTGAGTTTTTATTCATGTTATGTTAATCATAATTTGATTCTGATAATTTTAATTATGAAATATTTCAGTGAACGCGCTATGGTTCTCGAAGACGAATGTACTGGCATGGAATGTTGAGCATGATTTCTCAAGAGTTGAAAGATGTCTACTCCCTCAACTTAATGGCATTCTAACTTGTGAGAGAGATTGTCAAACCAACGATGACTGCAATGATTGTTGGATTTGTTGCAAGTGTAATCGGTTCCGTCGTTGCAACATGGTTGCTGGGTAAAGTATGTGCAAATTGCACATTATTGTTCAAATGCGACGAACTCTACTACTATTTCCAATTACTATTTTACCTTTTCGTGTAATTTCAGTTTTTTTTCTTTATTCATTTCAATGTTTCCTTGTCTTTTAGATTTGTACGAATAAAGAAGAAAGTTACGTGAATGACTTTCTATTTGGAAATGTGAAAGGATTAACCGCCGTGGTGAATTTTAGTACTTTGTATCTGTTTATAATTTTCATGCATTTACCAATTCATTTATCATCTTTTACGTACCCTTTTAGTTTCTCTGATGTAGCACACTTCTATCCAACAATTTTCTAATTTTTGTTACGATCCAAACTAGGGGTCATATGACTAATTAATGAGCAGAAAGGATCAAGTATCACGACCCTAAAATCGAACCGGTCATGATGATGCCTATCGTGAAACTAGGCCAGCCGACACAATCCCAAGTACAACCAATATTTCATAATAAGGAACGTTTTAAATTATTAATTAGATAAAATCCAATAACATGCGTCTAAATAACAAGTGCAGAAAACGACACAAGCCCGACATCGGGGTGTCGCAAGTCACGAGCAACTACAAGGTCTGACTAAGTACAATAAAGTCGATCAAAGTCTAGGAACAATACTAATATAATCTAGGAAGATAAGAGGGAGAAGAGCAGGGCTGCGAACACCATGCAGCTACCTTGTCGACTCCAAAGACCTGCTAAATGAACGATCAACGCTCGCTATCAAGACCCGCAACTCCTGGATCTGCACACAAGGTGCAATGAGTAATGTGAGTTCCTAGATCTGCACACAAGGTACATGAAGTAATGTGAGTACACCAACTCAGTAAGTAATAAAAGTAAATGAAAGCTGAGCAGTAAGAAATCAGATAATTCCACATCATAGCACTACAACAAATAAAGTATGGTTCCAAAATAATGTAGAAATCAATATTCTTATAAAAACTCGGTTTCAGTAAAAATACTTTGAAAAATGTCTTTCTACAGTATCAACAGAGACTTAAAGAAGTTTAGAGTAAAAATGATGAAAAATCATAATCAGCCCCTCGGGCAAAACATGTATCATAAACCGCCCCTCGGGCATAATATCAACAGAACCAGCCCCTCGGGCTACCTCACAATCACTCGTATCAGCCCCTCGGGCATAACATGTATCAGAATCATCCCATCGGGCAACAACATATCACTCACTCTGGGTACCCGCGCTCACTGGGGGTGTTCAGACTCCGGAGGGGTTCCTATAGCCCATATGTTCCCACAGGCCATCTTGTGGTATAATAAATCAGGCCCTCGGCCTCTCATATATTACAACACAGTACAACATGCTGCGGCGCGCAGCCCGATCCGCTGATATCCTCACAACACAGGCCCTTGGCCTTACTCAGTCAGAAAACTCTCAAGTCACTCGGGTTAACAGTAAAACAGGGTGCTCAGCCCAAAATCTCTTTTATAATATCAAAAACGGAGTAAATGAGGTTGAATTATGAAATCAGTAAAACATAGCATGACTGAGTACAGTTATTAAATCAAAGTAGTGAGGAATTTCAGTAAAGATAGCCCCTAAGGGTCCAAACAGTTGGCACAAAGCCCAAATATGGCATTCAGCTCAAAACATAGTAATGCTTTCTAGCATAAGAAAATATCAAGTAGTTTCAGTCAAATACGCAACTTAAGAGTTGCTACGGGACGGATCAAGTCACAATCCCCAATGGTGCACGCCCCTCACACTCCTCATCTAGCGTGTGCGTCACCTCAAAATAGTGAAACGATGTGAAATTCGGGGTTTCATACTCTCAGGACAATATTTACAATCATTACTTAACTCAAACCGGTCCAAACTCAAACCCGCGATGCCTTTGCCTCTCGACTCGGCCTCCAAATGCTCCAAATCCAACCAAAATCAGAATCATATCACTAATACATGCTAAAGGAACGAAGCCCAAGCAAAAATAATCAAATTAACTCAAAAATCCCGAAATTGGCCAAACGCGACCCCCGGGCGCACGTCTCGGACTTCGGTAAAAATCACACTACTAGAATCCTATCATCCCACGAGTCTATTCATATCAAAAACATCGAAATCGGACCTCAAATGGCCCCTCAAATCCTCACTCGAAGCTTCTAAAAACTCAAGCCCTAACCTTCAATTTCACTCTAAATTCCCTACTAATTTCATGATTAAGTAGTGGATAAATCATCATAAACACCAAATACAAAGCCCAAGCAACTTACCTCACTGAAATCCATCAATTCCTCCTTCAATTCCCGGCTTGGAGCTCCAAAATCGCACAAAAATGGTAAAAAATGACTGAAAATCGCGAAGTGAGGCTTGTATAGTTTCTTCCCCAGGGATTCCGCACCTGCGGTCCCATAAGCGCACCTGCGCTTCCGCTTATGCGGAAAATATCTGCTTCTGCGGATTTCACTTAAGGCACCAACTTCCACACCTGTGCCCCAGGCCTCGCACCTGCGGGCTCGCAGGTGCGGTTAGTCCTTCCGCTCCTGCGACAATCTCTGCTCCTACGGTTAGTCTCCTCGCCTGCGATCATTGCACCTGCGGTCCCCAACCCGCATGTGCGGAAACAACGAAGCAGCGAAAATCTGCAACTCCAATTCAACGGTAAACCTTCCGTCAACCACCCAAATCCATCCCGAGGCCCTCGGGACCTCAACCAAACATGCCAACAAGTCACATATCACCATTCAAACTTGTTCCAACCTTCTGAACACTCAAAACAACATAAAAACATCAAATCACCCTCGGATTCAAGCCTGAGGATTCTAAAACTTCGGATTCTGCAAATGATGTAAAAACCTATCAAACCTCATCCGAATGACCTAAAATTTCTACAAACGTCACAAATGACACAACGAACCTACTCAAATATCCCGAATTCCAATCCGACCCTGATATCAAGATTTCCACTGGCGACTGAAAAATGCCAAATTTCCAATTTCGCCAATTCAAGCCTAAATCTACCACAGACCTCCAAAATACATTCCGATCACGCTCTTAAGTCCCAAATAACCTAACGAATCTAACTGAATCGTCAGAATTCACATCCGAGATCTTCTACACATAAGTCAACTTCGGTTGACTTTTCCAACTTAAGCTTCCAAATAAGAGATTAAGTGTCTCATTCCACTCTACGACCACTCCGAACACAACACAACCAACACGATATGATGAAATACAGCTGAACAACACACAAGGAAGCAGAAATGGGGGAAACGGGGTTGTAACTCATGAAACGACCGGCCTGGTCGTTACATCCTCCCCCTCTTAAACAAACGTTCGTCCTCGAACGAGTCAAGAAACATACCTGGAACCTCAAATAGGTGAGGATATCTGCTCCGCATCTCTCGCTCGGTCTCCCAAGTGGCCTCCTCCACGGCCGACCTCTCCACTGCACTTTCACTGAAGCTATCTCCTTTGATCTCAACTTTTGGACCTGCCGCTCCAAAATAGCCACTGGCTCCACATCATAAGTCAAATCACTGTCTAACTGAACCGTGCTGAAATCCAAAACATGAGACGGATCGCCAATATACTTCCGGAGCATAGAAACATGAAATACCGGATGCACGCCCGACAAGCTAGGTGGCAAAGCAAGCTCATAAGCCACCTCCCCAATCCATCGAAGCAACACAAAAGGCCCAATGAACCGAGGATTAAATTTACCCTTCTTCCCAAATCTCATAACACCCTTCATGGGTGATACTTTCAGTAGAACCTTCTCCCCAACCATGTAAGACACATCACGAACCTTCATGTCAGCATAACTCATTTTTCTCAATTGTGTTGTACGAAGCCGCTCCTGAATTACTTTTGACCTTGTCCAACGCATCCTGTACCAAGTCTGTACCCAAAAGCTAGCCTCACCCAGCTCAAACCAACCTACTGGAGATCTACACCGTCTCCCATATAAAACCTCATATGGAGCCATCTGGATACTCGACTAATAACTGTTGTTATATGCAAACTCCATGAGCGGTAGAAACTGATCCCATGAACCCCCAAAATCAATGACACAAGCGCGCAACATGTCCTCTAATATCTGAATAGCGGACTGCCCGTCCGTTTGAGGGTGAAAAGTTGTGCTCAACTCAACCTGAGTTTCCAACTCTTGCTGCACGACTCTCCAAAACTGCGAAGTAAACTGAGTACCTCTATCTGAAATGATGGAAAATGGGACACCATGCAAGCGAACAATCTCGGATATAAATCTCTGCTAACCGCTCTAAAAAATAGGTAGTACACACAGGAATGAAGTACGCGGACTTGGTCAGCCGATCCACAATCACCCAAATAGCATCGAACTTCCTCAAAGTCCGCGGGAGTCCAACAATAAAATCCATGGTGATCCGTTCCCACTTCCACTCTGGAATATCTAACCAGTGAAGCAAGCCACCCGGTCTCTGATGCTCATACTTCACCTGCTGACAATTGAGACACCGAGCTACAAATCCTACAATATCCTTCTTCATTCTCCGCCACCAGTAATGTTGTCTCAAATCTTGATACATCTTCACGGCACCCGGATGGATGGAATACCGCGAGCTATGGGCCTCCTCCAAAATCAACTCCCGAAGCACGTCTACATTGGGAACACATATCTGGCTCTGCATGCTCAATACCCCATCCTCACCAATAATCACATCTCTATCATCGTCGTGCTGAACTCTGTCCATAAGGAAATGAGGGTCATCATATTGGCGCTCTCTGATGCGATCAAACAAGGAAGACCGAGAAACCACACAAACTAAGACCCGATTGGGCTCCAAAATATCCAACATCACAAACCGATTGCCCAAGGCCTAAACATCAACTGCAAGAAGTCTCTCCTCAATAAGAATATATGCCAACCTGCCCATACTCACCGCCTTTCTACTCAAGGCATCGGCCACTACATTGGCCTTCCCGGCATGGTACAAGATAGTGATATCATAGTCCTTTAGCAGCTCCAACCATCTCCTCTACCTCAAATTTAGATCCTTCTGCTTGAATAAGTGCTGGAGGATATGATGATCAGTAAACACCTCACAAGACACAGAATAAAGATAATGCCTCCAAATCTTCAACGCGTGAACAATGGCTGCCAACTCCAAATCATGAACATGGTAGCTTTTCTCATGGGGCTTCAACTGACGGGAAGCATAAGCAATCACTCTACCCTCCTTCATCAGCACACACCCAATACAAACTCTAGAAGCATCACATTATACCGTATATGAACTTGA